CCAGCGCTGCGGGAACAGAGTCTCCAGCCCTCCCTGCGCCCACCACAGCCCAGTGCAGAGCAGAAACCTGCGCCCCACTCCCTCTGGAGCAGCAGGCGGGATGGAGAACGCTCCAGGCTCGCTGACAAAGGGCGAGGGCTGGAGCCTCCACTGCCCCCCGGCTCAGTTGTTCCATTACGCTCACCGGTGACACGTACGCCTTATTTCCAGTGCAAGCTGGTCCAGCTGCCAGGCCCTGGCCTGGGCAGAGCCCCTCTCTGCAAGGCAGCAGAGCCTCAGTGCAGTGCAGACACTTGCAGACTATAACCAAGCCCCCCTTAACCTACCCTCGGCTAGACACACGGAGCTCGATCTGTTTGTATCGCTCCCCAGCCAGTTTCCTCCTCTCCCTCTCCAGTTTAGCGCTGGGAATTGTGGGCACCGGCCCCGGGAGAGGGTGCGGGTAGGAGGTGCGGAGAACTTGTTTTCTCTAGTGGAAGTGTCCTGCAGGCATTCTGGCCTGCTTTGTGCCCGGTGTGCGGGACTTAGGCCCACACGGAAAAGAAAGGCGCGTCTGCACAGCAGGGCTAGAGTCGAATGAAGCTACACACCCCGAGCTATGTCAATTGCGCAGCTGAAGTTGAACTTGCTTAACTCCGCTTTTGGGGCTGTCTGACAGCAGGCAGGCGCCGGAAGAGCCCTCTCCCTTCGCCTGCCCTCACTCATGCAATGGGGGTACTGGAGTCGGAGGAAGAAGTCCTCCAGTTCGACACTATTTCAAAGCACCGGCTCGCAGTGTAGTCGCGCATTTTGTTATTCCAGAATAACGCGGCGGAGCAGACGCCCCTAAGAGAGGCGTCCCCAGGCTGGTGCAGCAATTTCTCTCCCAGCAAGGAACTGCTCCCTCTAACAGCCCTCTCCGCCTAGCCACAGAGCGGCCCCGCGCAGCCCTTAGAGCCCTCGTGCTCATAACGGCTCTTCCAGGCACGCGCTGAGACCTGCACGAGCCCCCCGCCCCGCAAAGGAGACGAGGACTTGACTGTCTCGCAGCCAGCCCATGCAAAGTCCATTCGATCGCGCTGCCTGCCCACAGTGACCTCGTCCTGCATTATAGATGAAAGGCTTTGGCAGGAGAATCCAGGTATTCTTTGAGCTCCCGGATTTGAAATTTACCCCCTCCATTAGTTCAGCTCCAAGAGGCCCGGCCTCGCTCAGTCCTTGAGGTCCCCTTGCAGTTTCTGGAATGCCTGCAATGCATTTCCAGTCAAAACCCTTCAGTGGCAAGAGATAGAAACCACACCATGCAGGAGCAGAAACCTCAGCCCCTCCCGGAGCACTGCCACCTGCTTCCACACCACAGCACGACCATTCCCCTGGGTCCTACAGCCACAGTCCTGCCCCATTTGGGCGCTCATTTCAGGTGGCTAGTGGAGTGTGCAGGGGAGCGCATGGGGGAGCCAGGCTCCCAGCCAGCTGCCGTGCATCGGTAGGGCACGTGTTGCACAACAGCTGGGTTTCGCACCATCACCCGCACACCCGTAAGAAGGGCACACAGTGAGGTCATCAAACAACCGCAGTGGCTTGTGTAATTTCTCAGGGCTAATTTCTCCCTCCCTCCAGCTGGCTGCTGGAGCAGGTCGCTGTACCTGCCTGCCGAGCTCTGCTGCTGTACCTGTTCCTCCTCCTCCTCCCACCCCCCTCTCCCCGGTCCTGCTCTCCTGCCTCACTCCAGATCCCTGGTCTGACCTCCTGGCCCCGACACTGCCTCTGGCTTCAGCCACCGGCTTGACTCCTATATCCATCTCTGGCTGTGCCAGCTCCTGGCTGTAACCATTAGGAATGAATGCCCATAGCCCAGTCCCTACAGCTTGCTCAGACCACTGGCAACTTCTCGGAGTGGGCCTGCTGAGGCCGGAGCCAGGAGCTCACGTGCCCAAAGGGCAGAGCGCGCATTAGGACTGGGGACGAATGGCTGGCTGCATTCCCTTTGGTCCACAGCCGCGCCTGCAGCGTCCCAGGGCTCTGACCACTGCGCAAGGGGACAGCTCGGACCAGCCCGGGGTCGCACACCGGGGCGGCGGGCAGACTGCTCCAGGCCGCTCACGCCCGCTCCGGCCCGGGGAGGCTCTGCGGGGAGCAAGGAAAAGGAGCCTCGAACAAGCCCCGCACAGAACTCCTGGAGCGCCGCCTCCCCGCGGCTGGCATCGGAGTGTCCCCAGCCCCAGAGAGCTGGCTGGCTACCACGCCCGTGTGAGGGGAGGGGGCGAGCCCCAGGCAGAGCTCAGACCCTGTTCCCCATCCCGCAGCTCACCTGAGCGGGCCCCCCCATGGAACCCTGCCTGGGGAGATGCAGCCTCGTGCTGGGAAGCCCTATGTAAGCCCAGAGTTGTCTGAGCAACCCGGGCCATGGCTGGCTGCTACACCGACCCTGCCTCACTGCCAGATGCCCGAGGACCCCGGCTCCCAGCCTGTTCCCAGACCCTCATCTGGTCCCCGGTCTGGCCTCCCTCCAGTCCCTGCTCCTGTGTCCTGCCCCAGCACGGCCTCCATCTCTGCCCCTCACGGTCTCCAAACACTGAACGATGGCCTGGCATCTGCCTCGGCCCCAGCCCTGGTTCCAGGTGCCTGACCCTAACCATTAGACATGACAGCCCATGCCCTGGTTCCTACAGGGCACAGAGCAGAGGGAGCCATTGCTCGGGGAGGGGGGGAGGGAACACAGGGCAGACAGGCATTGCTCATGGAGGGGGCAGAGCAGCTGGGCTCTCTGCTCTCTCCTTTCCCCTCCCTGCATGGGAGAATGGCATCTGTGGCCCCCACCCTGGGCTGGGCTGGGCAGGGCATGCCTGGCGGCGCCCAGCTGGGCAGGGTGCCCCTGCGTGGATGGCACTTGCCGAGGTTGGAAATTCCCCGGATGTTTCGTGGGGGCAGACGAGCCCTCGGGCCTGAGGCCCCCGCGCTGCCACGGCCCTTCCCCGAGCCAGCGGCCACGGGCGCCCAGGGAGAGGGACACCCTGGTCCCCAGCATGGGGGAGGGTTAAACTTTCCTCCAGGGTTGGGCCCCTAAAGTATTCCAATGGAGGTGCGGGCCCACAGCCAGCTGGGGCCTGCCCCCACTTCGCCCCAGCCCCTCCTGCAAGGGCCACACCGGAGCCACGCTGCCCGACCATTCCTCCGCCGGGGGGGGCACTGCAGTGCCCAGCTTCCCAGCTCTGGGGGGGGCACTAGGCTGGGGCAAGGGCCAGCAGCCGCC